CACAACCACTGACTATAGTAAACAATTTTCCAACTGAATGTCAAACATTTTTATTACTAATATCTCCTTCTTCTTCTCCTCCTCCTTAGCACTCAGTTTAAAAAAAAAATAAATTAAGAAACCTTTTCCCTGCCTTCGAGCGTTTTGAGGTCAGCACCATGTTGGCGGCCTTACTTTCCAGATTGCACCTGGTACCCACTCAAAGCTGGGTCGACCTGAAAGCCAACATCATTTTTAAAAACAGCCCGGCTCTGTCAGGACCTGAAGCTTCAACATTTCAATCCCCAGGAGAGCGTTTAGCCCCTACACCTTGGCGACTCCCTCCTTAGCAGTCACAGGTTACAAATATAAAGTCTGGGGGAAAGTTCTGGCTGTTCACCCACTTCTGACTTTGGTCTTGTTCCAGAAGATGAGTTTTGCGTACATGTCCATTTTACAGATCTGGCTTATTTGTATGCAGACCATTGATTCCTCGCCTCTCAGGCAGATGTTCTAAGATTTTAAAGGAAACACGTCTAATTAGTAGGCTTTTACAATCTATTCTTTCACCCCTAAAAAATGGGGCCCTATAATCCGCAAGGGGAAAGTGTTATTAATACAATCATAAATAACATTACAATGTTAAGTAAGTAAAAAAAAATTTGGCCAACATAAAAAAAAAAAAAATATGCATAGATGATAATTCCCTTAAAAACAGTAACAGATCACTACAAGAGAATTGTCTCATGAAAAACATTAAAAGATTATTTCAAGATAACATTAAGCATTCCTGCTGATGTTGTAATCACAAACATCACAACATTTTTAAATATAAGAAAAAGGAAACAGAGGCACAAAAATAATAAATGCACAGGTATAAATACTTTGATTTTTATCACTGACCCAGTCTGTCAGATCTCTCCAACCTAAAATGGTCATCAAGTGATAATTGGTCTATTAAAATATAGGGCAACCATATATACCCATGGCAAGACCATTAAAATCTTACTCTCTGTTACAAGGAAAACAACAAAACAAATATACACATGTCTTTTCTATTTTTCTGTACTCATAAGTCATATGTCTGAGGTCTTATTTTTGCCCAAAATATTTTCCATTTGTCTCATGACTAAATAAAAGACAATTTTGATTTTCAATGAAAAAGTTATGATGATTTTGAGCCCAAAAATTGTTGATGTAACATTTTAAGTAACGAATGCCAACTTTCTTTTAACATATATGTCGAGTAACAAACGAGAACTGTAATCTTTTTACTTTATAAGTAAATTGACCAATCCTTCATGAATTCCTTTTTCTATCCCACGTGTTTACAGGTTACAATACACAACGGCTATTCAACAGGCGGCCCGCAGTAAATGGTCCTTGGATCTTTGCCAGTTGTTTTGTATTAATGACTTTCTCTGCTGGAGCTCAGGTCTCTGGTCCTTGACCACTCCCATTTTCACAATTTTTGACCCTGATTTGATTCAAGAACCCACATCACAAAACTGGGCGCATTCCCATAAGCGCTCCATCCCCATCTTCAGCCAGCAAATATACTTATGATGCAAGTACCATTCTGATTAATTTTTTTATAAATTAATTTTTGCCCCTGAGGACACTTCGTTGAATAGCCCTGCCTTATACAGTCAATACTTTTCTCAACTCGTTCCTCTTCTTCTTCCTCTGCCCTTCATCCCCAAAGGGAGCACAGGCTCTTAACCATCTCACAAATCATCCTATCTTTTGCTATTGCATGCAGCTCAACCAATGTCAACCCCATTTTTTCAACCTTACTCTCCAATTCCCTCTGCAGCTCTTTTCATGTGCGTTCCCTATTAATAATTTATGTGTCTAATTTTCTGCTACACTCGCTAAGGGAGACAGAAAAAGCACACATAAGTTGAACTGAGCTAGAAACCGACATGACAGCACTTTAAAAATTTCCATAACTGCTCTATCCCCAACTTCAGCAGCCAGGACAGAGTTCCAACTCTGATAGTACCAGCAGCAGTTTGACTGTATGTCTGTCTTGTCTTTCTCCTGAGTTGTGAGTGTCAGCCAGATCCCTTGGCTACTCCCCAACGCATTATTCCTTTCATACCATGATGATTTATTTGTGCCTACATACCGTTTGGTCTATCGCAAAGGGCACTGACCACATCTAGTTTTTTCAAATACTTCAATTCACCACTATGTGGTGCAGCACCAGCCAGTCTATCTGCCTGTTCATTTTCCAGTACACAGGCATCCCTTGAAGAACATAACCAAAGGATGCTAACCATCTGGGACCTCCTCTGTACACAAAGAAAATAAAAGACTCAGCCAGTCCCACATCTTATTTCTTCATCTCCTAAATAATATACCAGAATTTATCAGCTTTTTTTGCTATGTGTAATAAGCAAGGCTTTCTATCATATTATATCCTGTTTGTTTTGTCTGGTAGACCCTAGAAATCTGCCCAGCTATTTTAACATGCAGCATAGAAGGTTTTACGTACAAGGTGTCTATAAACTGTCTGTTTAAAAGTAATACACTATCAAGTTTTCACTATAGTTGTCCTCTTCTGAGCTTGAAAAGTTTAAACTAGCGTGTCTGGGTGTGTGTTTGTGTCTGGGTGTGTGAGTTTGTATCTGCATGTATGAATGTATGCATGTATATGTGAGGAATGTGTGTGTGTATGTATATTATGTATACGGGGGTGTGTGTATGTGTATGTATGTTTGTAAGTCAGTGAGTAGGCATGTGCATGTGGGTGTATTTGTGCATGCACATGTTTGTGTCTGTGGGTGTGGCTGTATGTGCATGTGTGTGTCTGTATGTGTGAATGTATGTGTGTATATGTTTTATGATTGTATGTATGCGGGTGTGTGTAAATGTGTGTGAGTGAGTGGACATATGCATGTGGGCGTGTGTGTGTGCGCGCAAGTGTTTGCATGCATTTTACTAACCATGCTCTTGTGATTTTTCTTGATTTCAATAATATGCATATTATTATATAAACATAACATGCTTTATTGACAAAATACAACTGCTGCATGAAAGATGGCTGCTTGGAAGGGCCAAATGTAAGACGGGCATGCTTGTACAATTTCTGACCCTTTGAAAATAAAGTTTGTTTTTTTCTTTTACTCCCATCCCTTACCCTTTCCTTCCAACCTACAGAAAAAAGTGCATTCGTCCATAGTGGTTTTGTGACAATAGTTTAAGAATCACTGCTCAAGAAGTTCACAGAATACTTGTTATTAAAAACAAAAGTAGTTAAAACTTTTATAAAAAAATGTAAAAATTTTTTTGCTAGATGAAAATTATTATTTATCATTCAGAAAAGAAACAAACTTTAAACTCCACAAATATACTGTTTCTCTTCTTCTTCTTTGCATTCGCCCTCTAATCTCCGGTGGAAAGTTTTGATTTTTCATTCACACCTGGACATTAGTCTTGATCCAGAACCTGCATCTATCTTTCAGATCTGTATCTGTATGAATATCAAAGCAATGTTTCACCATTGTGAATTAGAACAAAGAAGACACAAACAATAGACTGCACAATGTATTGCCTGGCATATTTTGCTGTATCTCGTCGGATGAATTAAATTGAGGCAAATAAATTAATTGTTAGAAGTGAAACACAAAATCAACAACATTCTGTAGTATGAACAATTTTTGAAGTATGCACCTGAAGAGATACATCCAAATATGCCAGGGAATAAATTGTGCAATCTATTGTTTGTGTCTTCTTTGAATAAAGACTAGGTTTCCTTATCTCTCAGGCAGATGCACCCTGACTTCAAAGAAAGCACCTCTAATTAGTCAACTCTAATAACATGCTTGTTGCGGAAGGGGGGGAGTTGAACTATTCTTTTATTTTTCCCCACAATGGATGCCCCACAGCTCAGGAGGAAATATTGTTTTTGAAATAACATACTCCTAACTTCAAAATGACAAACTAATTTCTTTTTTGTGTGTGGGTATAATATCATACTTTACTGTTACACATTTTTTTTAATGCATAGTTATCTGATGGCACATTTTTATTAGTTTATAGAAAAGCCTGTAATCCTAAAAACTACTGATGACCCAGGTGTAAAAGAAATGTCAATTGACTGATTGAACCCTGAGGTATTCTTGTGTGTAATCTGAGCAACTTAAAATACAAAGATTTTGTATGTCAGATTTATGACAAAATTATGTCCCTTTCAAAGCTATGCTTTTCTATTAAAAAAAAAAAAAATAGTATATCAAAGTATTTCCAGAAAAAAAAATAGTTAAAATTAACACTAAATTGTATATAAAAATGTTCAGTTAAAAAAAAGAAAAGAAATTTCTATAGAAAACAGAATTATATTGATAATGACATTTGTATTTAGAATAATCACAATGAGATCCTGTCTTTTTCAAACTACTTAATGTAGTCGTCAGAAATAAAAGTATGTAGTAAAATCAAATTAAAACATCTCATATTTGTCATTTAACATGTACTTGCTTTGTCTTGAACACATGAAAATTATGATTCAGTAATGCTGTCTTCCTTTTCTTCATATGTACAAGTCATTTTTATCTGTTCCTGTAAATCAGGGTTTAAAAAAAATTAGGGTGTTTTCTTTTGCTGACTGTTGTGACCAGTTCAAGGTAAAATGGAATTTTATATAAGTGATTACATGTTTAAAAAAAAAAAGAACTATACAATAACATATAGTCGATAGAGCGTAACAATAACAGGTAAAATCTATTCAGCAGATCTGTAGAATTCTGCAAATCATCACAAACAAAATGAGAAACCAAATGTTAGGTGGTTAACGTTTAGTCCCAAGGAACACATCTTACGTTCATAGATTCCTACCTTGAAGTGCAATTAATGCAAGATGTGCTGTTTTTTACATCTCTCTCTACTACCCATCGGCCTCTGATGCTAAACCCCCTGGGACTAAAAGAGCTAAATTTATCTGGTAACCCTTATTGGTTACCACCCTTGTGCCATGCTGTTGATCCATTGTATAAACATAAACATAATTAGAATAATCAACACCACACTTCACTGTCACTGTCCTCGAACTGGTAGTCATCATCATCATCAAGATCATCCCCAGGACTAGATAGTTCTTGGTTCTTTGGTAGTTCCATCCTGTCAACTTCATCTAACATCCACGGAGCTCGCATCAAAACTACGGTCATCAAGCAATCGAGATATGATTTCTGCTCATCCAGCTCCTTTATAAGTGTTGCCACTATGTCGATTACATTTTCCTACAATAAACAATGCTTGCTAGAATATCTGTGCAAATGTATGTGTGTGCATGTTTGTAACATTAATTCATTTGAACATGTACATTCATAACCTTGGTTCTTCTTCTTATCTTTTGTCGTCTCACTGACACCAGGTTGTAGCCCAGTGTCGTGGTTTTCTGTATTTGTCTTGCACTTCTCAGATGGCTTGAGAGATGGATTTTGTTTACCTTTTAGCAGGTTTCTGCTACACCATTTATCCATATCTTTCTTGATATTCCTCTCGCCTTTCTCCTAGATGTTCTGTTGTTAAAAAGTCTCATGTGCAGTTTGCACTGGCTGCATTCTCCCTGAACCATTTAAATCTTTGTCTGTCAATATAATCCAAACATGGTCTTATTCCGAATTTCTCTCTAATACTGGTATTTGTAGCCCTGTCTCTTCTCGCGGTGAAAGCGCATTTCACGTGTAGTTATTTTCCGTTCAAGAGCCCTATTATTGTCCATGTCTGGCACTGATAACATAAAGTAGGGATACAGATGCTACTGATCATTTGCTGTTTTGCTGGAAGGAAAAGATCTGGGTGTCTAAGCAGTGGGACTAACTGATAGGTGACAGCATTTGCCTTCTGTACTCTGGCTTCCATCACTCTACTGAGTCTGCCATCCTCTTTAAATATCCTTTCTAAATATCTGAATTTGTGTACTTGGTTGCCTTTGTTACACTGAGAAAAAGTTTTATAATAATATAAATCTATGCTTCTACTAAAAATAATTCTGGTTGCAATATATATGCAATGTCCCCTGTGTGGGTTCCGGGGTCCCATTGTGGGGAAACCAAGAATAGACCCACTGCCTCCCCAAAAGCATGTCGTAAGAGTCGACTAATTGGGGAGCTTTCTTTGAAGTCGGAGTGCATCTGCCGGAGAGGCAAGGAACCAACAGTCTGTATTCATGGAATGAGATCTGTAAAACTGATGCACATTCAACATTCAGGTTCTGGTGCAGGACTGCAGTTCAGTAGTGGACAAGCAACCAGAACTTTCCACCAGAGTGTACAGCTGGTGAACGTGAAGAAGAAGAAGAAGACATGCAATGTATGTGTATGCATGTGTGTCAAGCTAATTCAAACCACAGTTAACTTGCGAAAACAGTGTTATAATTATAAAAGCGTACAATTCTACTAAAAATATTTTTTTTAGAATATGCATGAAATGTATGTGCAGGCAGGTGTTCAAGCTGATTCACTGATACCTCCGTTACAGTGAAAGAACAGTGTTATGATGATATAAACCTACAATGAAGGGGATGTGGCAGACACTCAACACTCAGGGGAAAGGCGAGACGGATATACAATCAGACAGTTACTGGAACCATCAGAATTCTAACTCTTCGCTTGCTGCTGAAGATGGAGACAGAGGGCTTATTCTTCTTCTTCTCAGCATTCACTGGCAGTTAACTTTGGTGGAAAGTTCTCATTATTCGTGACTCTTGCACTTTGGTGCTGATTCCAGAAAGTGGGTCTGATTAGCTTCTCCTATCCATAAGTAGTTTCATTGCCTCGAAGGCCGATGCAATCCTACTTTGATGTCAAAAATCAAGTTTCTTTCTAAAATATGCTTAATAGATAGAAATCAAACATCTTCTATGACAAAATACAAGGAAATATCATGGGAAGTAAAAGTAGCCAGGGCAAGGCAGACCACATGAATCATTAATCGTCAATGAATCCATACAATTATGGCTCTAGCATGATATGTCTAAAAAGCCAGTAGCATTAAAAGGGTCCGTAACAAAGGGGTTTAATTTCTAGAAAGTTAGGATCAGGGTTTGTCAGTCTAACTGTACAAATTCAGTGAAGTGGTAAGTGTTACCTTAGACACACTTGATGCTTTGAGAGTCTCTATTCCATGCTGGTAAAGTTTCATTGTTTCTTTTCCTGTATCTGAAAAATTTTAACCAGTAGAGCACACTGTAGGAGTAACCAGAAGAGATAAAATCAGGAATGAAGTCACATGAGATAAAGTCGGCACAGAATCAATTCTAAATTACATACAAAGACAGCAAATCAAATGGTTTGCTAATTTGAGAGAACGCCTTCTGATTCTATACCTATACAAGGCATATACGAAAAGAGGAGAAGGACATAGAGCAAAAGGTAGACCAAGAACAAGATGGGAATATAACATCTGAGAAACTCTACAACACTACAATGTGTCTATGGTTGATGCAGCCAGAAGAGCATGAAGCATGACCATATATCTCCCTCAACACCCAAAGCGGTAAAAGAGGAAATCATTATAAAAATCTCACAGTGTGGGTTCTGAGATTCCATTGTCATAGATTTAAAAAAATGAATAGTCCCACTGCCGAACTAATAAGCATGTTGTAAGAGTCAACTGATTAGGGATTTCCTCTGAAGTTGGGAGTGCATTCTCCTTGAGAGGCAAGGAAACAACAGTTTGCATATAAATAAGCCAGATTTGTAAAACTGATGTACACAAAAAACCAAAGTTCTGGAACAAAACTAAAGTCCAGAAGTGGACAAACAGCCAGAACTTTCTGCTAGAGTTTTCAGCTGGTGAAGACAAAGAAGAAAGATTATAAAAATGACGTTGGTTCTAAGGTCAAGCTAGCCTAAAATAGGTACAGGAAATATCAAGGGAAGTAAAGATGGCTGGCATGATGCTGATTATACCATCCACAGAGTGCCAATATGTCTATAAAAATAAAGCTTCAGCTCCCACATGCCGGAAACAAGTATGGAGTGACAAGCGTCCTATAACACAGAATTTAACAGTTATTATTCTTATTCATACAGATAAGGGGATGTTTTCTTAGCTTGGCTTGATTTGCAACAACAAAAAAAATCACCACATTCAACCAGCATCCTCTAAGGGAAAGCTTTAGGTAATACCTCTGGTTAGGTTATGTGTGCCACATTTTCTTCTTCTTCGCATTCGCCAACTGTAAACTCGCAGAAAGTTCTGGTTGTTCGTCCACCTCTAAATGAATTGCAGTCCTGTTCCAGACCTGAGTATTGCATGCACATCCGTTCTACAGATCTGACTCATTTATATGCATACTGTTGGTTCCTTGCCTCTCAGGCAGATGCACTCCATCTTCGATTGGAAGTTCCCAGTTAGTTGCTCTTACGACATGCTTCTGGGTAGGCAGTGGGGATTTTCTCGTTTTCCCCACAATGGGGCCTCGGAACCCAGACAGGGAATGTGCCCCGTACAAAACGACTTAGCATTGCTCACGACCAAGTAGCTCTAAAAAGAACTTTTGCAGTGTTGATGTGATCAAAGAAGACAGACCCAAATGCTGTCCCGACTGGTGACAAAGTCATCTACCGGTGAGCCAATAGGTGACCCGGTCACCAATGATGCCTTCTTCTTCCTTTGCTCTTTCTCTTTTCTGCCTTCCCCCCATTTAACTAAGCATAGACCCTTAGCTTTTTCTTCACCAAGCAATAACCTATCCATCCACTGGCTTGTCGAAAGAGAATATATTTTCTCTCTGTATCTGTATAAATGTCTGTCTTTCTTCTGTTACAGACAGCTGGTATAGCAATGCATTCTCGCTGTAAAGCAGCGGTTCTCAACCTGCCGGTCGCTACCCTTTTTTGGAGGGCCAAACGACACTTTCACAAGGGTTGCCTAAGACTATAGGAAAACACATACTTATTGAAGTTAAAAAGGAAAATAATTGTTTGGGGGTCGCCACAACATGAGGGAACTGTATTAAAGGGTCGCGGTATTAGGAAGGTTAAGAGCGCTTGCTGTATTCCAGGGCCCCATCGGGAAAGGGGAGGGAGGGGGCACAGACCCAACTGCTACTCTAACAAGCATGTCATACAAGGCAACTAAGTAAGGATGTTTCCTTCGAAGTCAGTGCACATCTGCCTGAGAGGCTAGAAACTAACAGTCTGCACATAAATAAGCCAGATCAGTAAGTGGATGACCAACTGGAACTTTCCGTTTGAGTTTACAGCCGGTAAAAATGAAGAAGAAGAAGAAGAAGAAGAAGAAGAAGAAGAAGAAGAAATGCATTGTGTCTTAAGAGGATAAGTATATACTAGTGCCGTATTGGGCATCTGATGATAGACCAAATGGCAGTTGGTGGGTGATGTGGTGACATTATGTTGGCCACCTTTACTTTCTAGGACATGCTCTCATACCCATTTTAAGCTGGATCACCCTGGAAGTCAGGCAATTTCACCTCAACCAACTGACTACCAAGCCCATTACCCCTTGCACTTTCCCAACCACCATATATTTTAGTTTCTGATAAAAATGCCATGGTTCACAACTATCTGACACAAACTCATAATATTTTGTATTTTTGCACCAAACTGAATGGAGAACCAATTTAAAGAATACCCCAAAAAAAATGCATAACCTTGTACATCATCACCATGTGCATGTACATTGATGAAAAGAAAGAAACCTAAAAATCTTCTGACATCAATTTAGCAATGTTTATTTATTTTCTTTTAAAAAAAATTTTTTTTTTTTTCAATCAAGAATATATCTCATAGCATCAGAAATATTTACCAAACTAAGAATGGACTAACACGGGGGTTCTTAACCTATTGGTTGCGACCCATTTGGGGGGTCGAGTGAGCGTTTTACAGGGGTCGCATAAGACCATGGGAAAAACGCATATTCACTGAAGTTATGAAGTAACAACGAAAATAATTTTATGGCTGGAGGTCATCACAGCACAAGGAAAGGGGTCACAATTTATAAAGGTTGAGATCACTGGACTAACAGCTTTTACTAGATTTATTGCAAAAGTCAGCATTTTAACATGGCTTTGAGTGTCTAAAGTTAAACATGCAGGGGGTATGATCATAGTAGCCAGGCGTAACCGCTGGGCGATAGCAAAACATGCAATCATTGTAGTTAAAGTTAGTTGTATATCCATTACAGGACATTGCAGAACCATCCCCAGCATTTTTGGCTGTTGTAGTTTTTCTAGGAAAATGTTAGTCCAGTAGTTTGCCATTGCTTTCTGGACGGTCGGCTTTTCAATACCACTGTCGAAACCATCGCAAAGCGCAAGACCCGTAGCTGGGATCAAATCAGGCACTCCGGGATTACAAAGCTTGTTCGCAATGCCTAAGCCACACACACTGACAGTCACTGTAGTTAGTGGGTTAGTTGTTAGTTGTTAGTCCCATGCAGAGTTGTACCACCACCTATGGTGGTCAACCAGAGCCAGGACTCAAAGTGGTCCTCTGTAAGGGTCCACTATTTCTATTTCTAAATAGTAGTCTTAACACTCTGCTAGGTCAAGCAGTAATTAACTTATGATACTGAAAGATATATTCATCATTCATTCATTATCTTGTTGTGCCATTATATGTCACATAGGGCTCGCAGTCTAGTCATGTCCTGTGCAATCCTTTCAGTATCATGAGTAGAATCCAGTCCAAAAGATTTAGCCTCTTTCATTAGCATCCATCTCAGAGCTTATCTTGGATGACCTTTGTAAGTTTTCCATCTCTGTGCCTGTTTGGTAATTCTCTGTCCATTTCTCTGCAGGAAGTGCCCAACAAACTGCCATCTTTTTTTTCTTATAACTAATAATACAGTAAATGTCCAGACATTTCTCTTATTTCTTCACAATTCTATGCAAGATGAAATGATAAAGGAAGTGACAAATGTCAAGCTACTGTGATAATGCAAACAAGCCAAGTACCTGACAAGTTGACTTTCAAATGACGAATATAAGCTAATGCTGAGTCCCTTTCAGCTTCTGCTTTCTGAAGTTCTGACTCCTAATGTGAGGAGAGAAAATAAAATATACAGCATTAGAAAATGAGGGGAGCCGCCAAGGTGTAGCAGCTAGCTGCTCGCCTGCGTATCCGAAAGTCCTGATGGAGCTGGACTTTTTTTAAACATAACCTTGGCTCCCAACCTTAAATGAGTACCAGGTAAAGTCCTGGGAAGTAAAGGTAGCTGGCGTGATGTTGACCATATCACCCATCAAGTGCAGATTGGTCTATAAAATATAGGTCTAGCCCTATATGCCCAATACGCCTGAATGTGTGAAATAAGGGTCCTTTACTTTATTAAAATATGAGACAATAGCAAAATAAGATGGTTAGAAAGGCAGAAAGTTAAATAAACAGGTAGTCAGAGATAGAGAGACAGATATGGTCAGGAAGACAAGGAAGTGGAAAAGAGACAGATGGTCAAAAAAGAGGTGGTCAGTGAGATAAGATAAACAGATGAAGGAAAGCAATGGAATGAACTAAAACTGGCCATGAGAATGGGAGAAAACCGGCCACTATGACAGGCATAGAAGGCGAAGAACCAAAGAACCAGACCACCCAGGGTTAGCTGGGAAGACAACAACCGACAGTCTTTAACCGACAGAGGACTGGAATGGAACAAAGTCAAAAAGAAAGAGAAGTCTGCCGATCTCTCTGGAAACCCTCTACACCCCAGTGTTGAAGAGGATCGACTAAGTAATCAAAATGAATGCACAAATGCAGGCACACAAACACATACACACATATATACTGACATAATTCTCACATACACACTCTGACATACATACATACCCATTCGGATATGTAACAACATGTACATTCCCATATCCCACAGGCATTCACACATACATGCTAACAAATATTATACCTTTATGCAAACAGAGGTATGTATACATACAGGCACCTCAACGTAAAGACATGCAGGCAACATAAACATGTTTATACCCAAGAAAACACACATAAATGCATGCACTTACATATACCCACTCATATGTCAGATTGAGCTGATAAGACAGGAGATGTTTAGATTGGGTTTAAAAAAAAGACACTGATTGTCATGGAGACAAAGATGGTTATCAGAAAAAAAAAAGAGAGAAATAGTTGGAGAAACAGATGTGATCAAAGAAAGACAGATGATCAGAATGACAATGGTGTCATCTTAGAAACAGATAATAAAACAGAGAGAAGGTCAGAGCATAAACGGTTTAGATAAAGGAAAGAAGTCATAACATATACGATAATAGTAAAAGTAAAAACAATTTAGATAACGGAAAGAAGTAATAATATGTACATAACATATACAATAACAGTAAAAGTGAAGAAAATTCAGAAAAAAAGAAAGAAGTCAAAACATGTAGAATAATAGTGAAAGTGAAAACAATTTAGAAAAAAGAAAGAAGTCAAAACATGTATAATAATAGTTCGAGTGAAAACAATTTAGAAAAAGGAAAGAGGTCAAAACATGTACAATAATAGTAAAAGTAAAGGTTCTTTTACATGCCAGGGGGGCATCGGGCATATGATGCTTGACCGCCAGGGTCGACCTATGAGTCAAGGTCATTAAAAAAAAACAGGCACCATGCAAATTTGAACCAGCGACTAGACAAATGTTAATAATAGTAAATACATGAACAATAATTAACAGTAACTACTTGTAAAATAAAAGTAACAACTGGTGATATAAAAGTAACTACTGACCTTTTGTTTAAGAGCATCCTGTAAATACAACAGTTCTCCCTGAATAGCAATCTTCTCATTGGTAGCAGTGATCTTTTCTTGAAGGCTGTTCAGGAGTTCAGAACTAGACGATTTCAAACATGTCTCAACATCAAATGGCTGGTTCTTCATAGCCACTAGAACTGCTCGTAGTTTCTCCCACCTTCTGTCAGCCACATTTAACTGGCAACAAGAAAAAAAATGACAAACAAGTTAAATCCATCATTATCAATTTCCATTTCTGCCTTTGCCTTTAAGCGTTGTGGGGAGGAACAGTTTGTGATCCACTACGTGATGGGAAGCAATGGCTTTTGTCATTCCACGCTGATGAAGAAGCCTATGTTCTCCTGGGGCGGCCTCTTGCTTTCACCTCAGATCTTTTCATGTGTAATGCCCTCGTTGGTAGTTGTTCTGGCTGCATTCTTATTAAATGACCAAACCATTTGATCTTCTGTTTCTCAATGAATTTGCTAGCATATCCGTCTGACACACTCGTGCTTCATCCTCCAATGCTGCAGTCATCTCAGTGTCTCCATGTTCAACGTATCCAGTAGGAGTCGACTGGCATATGTTCTTTCTTTGCCCCGTAAGCTTCTGCATGCTTGTTCTTGTTTAATATGTATGATATATATGTATCTATGTAGGTATCTGTATATTAGAGTATATGTGTGGGTATATATGAGAGCATATTATCTGTATGAGTGCTTGTGTAGTATGTATGTTTGTAGTCGTCCCTGTCCTGTCCTGCTGTGTCGTGTGTGTGTGTGTATGTGTAAGTGAGTGAATGTGTGAGTGGGCGCGGTGGTGTGCGTGTGTGTGCGTGTGTGTGTGTGTGAGTGTGTGTGAGTGAGAGCATGTGTGAGTGGGCATGTGTATGCATTTACCATCCATGTTTTTTCCTTTGTTATTCATATTATTTATATTTTTTATAAACATAACATGCTTTATTGATAAAATACAATTGCTGTTTAAGAGATGAGTGTTTGGAAGGGCAAAATGTAAGATAGGTCTGTGTTCCGAATTTATGACCCTTTGAAAATAAAGTTTGTTCGATTTTTTTGTTAATACCCATTTCAAACAAGCAGTTCAATGTCTCTGATGCCTTTGTCTCAAAGAATGCAGCACGTTCAGAATGTCTGCCCTGTCAATATGTCTTCATTCAACAATCACTGCAGCCATGGCCAATCTGTCAGCTCTTTCCTTTCCTTTCATCCCAGCATATTTTGGTGTTACAGCCAAGACAGTTTCTTGAGGCCGGACTTCTGCATGCTGTCAAGCCATTCCAGTTTGGATGTTCTTACCCATGCTCACTGAGTCTGTCACTATTAATGCAGGGGTTGCTTTCTGTTTTGCTAGCCATGCAAGTACCCATCTGTCAGCTGATATCTCCATCCTTATGCTAGAAGTTGTACTGAATGCCTGACTTTCTTCTTTTACTGTCTTTCCATTCACCTGTGCTATATATGCCCACCCAGACTGCACCAAACGAAACATTGAGATATCTCTACAGATGATGACATCACCTGGTCGAGTGTGGTCGTGAATGAGGGCTCTTACTTCAGCATCAGTGGCTGTTTGGCTCCATTCTCTACAATATATTCCCACGACGATTATCACCTCAGTATGTTCCTGTAAATATTCTGGTGTTTCTACCCACTCAGCACTGTGCCTCACGTGTTCCAATGGGCAAATCTGCCCCATGGTATCCTCTGCTTCTGCCATACATGACCACCACTACTTGTGTAGTTATGACAAACACCAGACACAAATTAAATACAAGCTTATAAAAATAGGTAATCAATCTCACCACCTCACAAAATATGCAACATCTCAACAATGCTGCCACACACACAAAAAAACACAAAACACAATGAGATATTATACCTGAGCTTGCTGGAGGTTTGGCACTAGGGTAGGTTCACTTCTTCTGAAATAAAACAAAACAGAAAGAAACTACAATTATTATTATTACTGAGATACTTAACTCTTTGAGTCCCAAGGAACGCATCATACGTTCATAGATTTCTACCTAGAGGCCCAAAGAACGCATGATGCGCCGATTTTACGTCTCTTTTCATTACCCATTGGGCCTGTGACGCTAAACCCCCTGGGACTCAAAGAGTTAATTAGCAATTGTTTTCAAGGTTGTTGTTTTTTCTGCATTCACTCTGAAAAAGGCCACTGGTTCACTGTGCTGTGGTTTACAGCTAGGCTGCGATATCAGCCATATCAGGGCCATTCAGCCCAACATGATTTTAGCAAATCCCTAACTTCCCACTTTTGAGAGGACTGTAGACCTATTCTTTGCTCCCACACTGTTGGATGTCCTGGTGTTTAAAGGTGATAGAACTGACTTCATTGCACCAAATGTGGCTCTGTCCCACTGTACAGAGGGTGTACATCCACTGAGAAAATCACACACAAAGCATAAAACTCCATGCTGATCCCCAGGGATCTTCTAAGCATCTGCTCCTACACAGCTCTTTTTCTGAGCATACACCAGCAGTAAACTCTGGTGGGAAAGTTCTAGCTGTCCACTCCTGCGCTTTGGTTTTTCTCCAGATCTGGTACATCTGTATGCCGACTGTTGATTTATTACCTCTCAGGCAGATGCATTTCGACTTCAAAGGAAACACCACTAATTAGTCGTCTTTCATGACATGCTTGTTGAAGGTGTTTTTTATGCTTTCTTTTTTCTCCCAAAATAGGACCCCAGAATCTATAAAAGAAGCCTCCAAAACAAAGGGCGGACTCTGAAATCAAACCAAGAGTCTTCAGAAAATGAGGAAAATGGCTTGGACACTTCACCACAAAGACCTTAGTTACTGTACGTTCTAAAAGCATGATTTTGGACTTCATTTACATAAACTAACTCATATTATGAAATGATAATTCACAAGTTTCTCTTTTAAGGGCACTGTATCATGCCTAGTAATGAACATCACTTGGGCACTGTATCCTGCCTAGTAATGAACATCACAAGGGCACCGTATCATGCCTAGTAATGAACATCACAAGGGCACCATATCATGCCTAGTAATGAACATCACAAGGGCACCGTTTCATGCCTAGTAATGAACATCACTAGGACACTGTATCATGCCTAGTAATGAACATCACTAGGGCACTGTACCATGCCTAGTAATGAACATCACTAGGGCACTGTATCATGCCTAGTAATGAACATCACTAGGGCACTGTATTATGCCTAGTAATAAACATCACAAGGGCACCGTATCATGCCTAGAAATAAACATCACTAGGGCACTGTATTATGCCTAGTAATGAACATCACTAGGGCACTGTATCATGCCTATTAATGAACATCACTAGGGCACTATCATGCCTAGTAATGAACATCACTAGGGCACTGTATTATGCCTAGTAATGAACATCACTAGGGCACTGTATCATGCCTATTAATGAACATCACATGGGCACTGTATCATGCCTAGTAATGAACATCACTAGGGCACTATCATGCCTAGTAATGAACATCACTAGGGCACTATCATGCCTAGTAATGAACATCACTAGGGCACTATCATGCCTAGTAATGAACATCACATGGGCACTGTATCATGCCTAGTAATGAACATCACTAGGGCACTATCATGCCTAGTAATGAACATCACTAGGGCACTGTATCATGCCTATTAATGAACATCACAAGGGCACTGTATCATGCCTAGTAATGAACATCACTAGGGCACTATCATGCCTAGTAATGAACATCACTAGGCACTGTATCATGCCTAGTAATAAACTTTGCCTTTGATTCTACCACCAGTCGCATGACAATGGAGGTCATGGCTGTGAAAAAGGCATTAGAATGGCTGAGAACTGAGAAGTTCACCAATGCATGTTTGCTCATCGACTCAATGAGCATGCTAAAGAAGATCGAGGCGGGGTACATATAGAAACTGTGGCTCCATCTGATTCAGCACGCATCAATTTGCAAAATTACCATTTGTGTATCAGGGTATGATGGTGTGAAAGGCAATGAGAGAGCAGATGCTCTGGTTGGCAGTGTGACCATCAGGAATGAGCTCTCTAGGACAGGAGAGACACCATCAATGCCATTTGAGAGACTAGACACTGCGAGGCTTTCAGTTTCATGGAAAATGATTTTTCAATCAATAGACTGCATACCATGGGTGTACCAATTGGAGCTGCGAGACAGAAAAACCATGCGGATCCACTCGTCGTTACATCAACAAGAACAAAATGGGAGTTGTTAGAGAGCCTTAAAACACTTAGAGACATACTCAGAAGGAGATCGGAGCACTTATGGTCATGCCCGATGTGCGATAAAGATGATCTCTAACAAGAACTATGAACTACCGCTGTAAACTCCGGCGAAAAGTTCTGGTTGCTCATCCACCTCTGGACTTTAGACTTGTTCCAGAACCCGAGTGTTGTGTGCACATCTTTTTTACAAATCCGACTTATTTGTATGCAGACTGTTGGTTCCTTGCCTCTCAGGTTTCACTGCAACTTTGAAGGAAACCTCCAGCTAGTCGACTCTTATGACATGCTTGTTGGGGCGGCAGTGGGTCTATTCTTGTTTTCCCCACAATATGACCCAGAAAACACATGGGGAACAAAAATAAGAGCTAATTAATTACTCAGTGAAATACAAAATATATGAAATTTTTAACATAAAAATATCAAATGTTAAGAGCAAATTAATTTTGTGAAATCTAAAAGACATTAAATTTTGGCACAAACAAAATTATACAAAATGTAACCTTCTATTTCCTTCTGGTAAAATGGGTGATGAAATCTTCTTGAAGTATTTTCTTGAAGGTGACGCAGGTGACAACAAAAGAAGAGAGTTTTTTCCTAATGAATCAGCACTTGCTTCAGATCTGGTCCGGGGTTTTGGACTCACAGGTGGAGCCAACCTGGACGTGGGATGCTGAGAATGAGGTGCTGTAGGGATCTGAAGCGCTAGAGGAAACGTCTTCACAGAAAATTCATCAGCTTTGCTTGTCTCAATCACCTTAGAATTCTTAACCACTGGTGATGATCTGCTAACACCAGATACAGAACTTACTAGCTTTGTAGATACTTCACCACGGTCTTGAGAGTCACACGTGTCAGCCATGAGTAGGTCTGATTTGCCAGTTACTAGGCAAAGATTTTCTGATGATGATGATGATGATGATACGTCAGCATTTTTCAACACAGGTGGAGTATTAGTGTTTACACTGTGACAAATAATCTGCAACAAAACAGTGTCAATAATGTAAAATTCAATATCAGTTTGTATTTTTAAAATGTGTGACATCTTCTCAATGGAGGCTGGCTAAAAGATATGAACGTCTATTGCTTCTTCTTCTTTGTTCCCCAGCTGTAAGATCAAGTGGAAAGTCCTGGTTGTTCGTCCATTTAGACTTTGCCTTTGTGCCAGGGCTTGAATTTCGCGTGCATCTATTTTCCTGGCTTTTTGTGTGAAGCTGGCTGTTCCTTGCTGCTTGGGCAGATGCACTCAGACTTCAAAGGAGGTCTCCAGTTAGTCGACTCCTAGGACATGCTTGCTGGGGAGGCAGTCGGTCTATTTTTGTTTCTCCACGGTGGGGCCCTGGAACCCACATAGGAAGCATCCACTGCTATCTGTAGGAATACTGTATGTTGATAACCCATTTTCTTCAACAGTCTGACTTTCATCAGCATCAATCAGCAAGTCGTTTACAGAACGTCGCTCTCTTCACAGCACACCTGAAAGTATCCCTTTCCCTAGCCAGCTCTCCAACCCAATGTGCTTACATTTCCAACGCATCTTCAATGTCTTGTATCCATCTTTGCTGAGGTCAACCCCTTTTTCACCTTCCACATACAGCACCCTCCAACACCATCTTTTCCAAGCCAACATTGACATTTAATGTGGCAAAATACTTCAACTTTCAGGACAGGATGCTGTTTATGAGCCAGTTCTCCTGGATGTTTAACTCCTGTAGAATGTCGATGTTTTTCCTCTTCTTGACCCATGGTATTCAAAAGCTCTAATCTGTTTTTTTTTTCTTCAGTGATTGAGTGAGAGTCTAGGACTCACAACCATAAGTTGCTGTGGGAAAAATGCATGATCTCAAGATTTTTACCTTCACTAATTTTGAGTTGCTTTGCCATAGGTTCTTTATGCTGTTTAATCTCTGCATTGCTAATGCAAGTCTTCTTCTGACTTCTTTTGAGCAGTCGCTACTGTTGTTCACTAAAGAGCCCAAGTATGGCGACTTTCATTCCACTGTTTAAAAAAAATCTTTGTCTAAATCACCAACTCCTGAAATCTTACTCTGGTATGTTGATTGTTAAAAACCTTCTCTAAGCTCTAAGGTATAGAGCTGTACAGAGTTTATTTAAGTGTTACTGTTAAATTGTAACATTTTTTGTGCCAATTAATATGTAGATTATATTAGAATTTCCAATATAATCTACTTTTTATTGGCACTTCCTGTGAAGAAGAGACATCTGCCTTAGTTCTATGGGTACTTTAATTTTACACAGCCACAGTTTTAAGATTTGGTAGGGAAATCCCCAGAACGTTCCATAGTATATAGGGGGTTAGGGTTAGGCTTAGTAGGAGTAATATAGTAGTAATTTTTCTAGAATATCATGTTCAACCCTCACGGTTAAAACTGGAATATATAGTGTTAATTGATTTCTCAGAGTATTTATTTGTTATTTAAATTTATTTATCATGTAATTACCCTCATGACCAAAATGCAATTTTTATAGTTTCATATTTCGCTTTGATTAGGGTTGTGATTCTGTACTATGAATAATTAGACACTGGCTATGAATAATTAGATAATCTTGATAGCACTGTGTCATTATCATGCTGGATATATTGTTTCCTTAATGTGCAATCACTATTCAACATGATTTTATCTTTAGGGGAAACTTCTTCAAAGATGCCATGGGCATTCTTTACTCTTATACATATGGATTTAAGTCCTAATAATAAATTGATTGATCTTGCCAAGCAGCTCTTTGGGGTTGTCTATGTGCAGTAAGTTATCCATCGTCATCGGTAATTTACAGAGATTCATGTAGTCCGTTAATGGTTTCCTTTGGTTTTTATGTTTCCTACATTTCAGCAAATATTGATCTATAGTTTTGTATTTCTGGCATACATTACAGGTCTCTTCCTGTAGAGTCAAACAGGACCATCTAAGTTGCAGTCTAAGCATTTTACGATTGCATAATATTTTAAGTTCATCAGTTTTCTGACTTTGTCTTTTAGGAAGATTTAATAACTAATATAAATATCTACCCTTAAGGTTGTGGTCCCATTTCAAGGACAATACCTCTAATATACGTTTTTTATTCAATAATTTGATGTCTCCTGTGCTAAAACTAATATTAACAGTGTTTTGATTGGATCTACATTTTTTTGCCTTCCTATCTGCAATTTCATTACCATGTATACTATTTCCACATGAGCTGGTATCCACATAACAAGCACTGAGCATCCTTGTGTGTTTAGATATATGTGGTAGCCATAGCGATCTCTTCTATTAAGTCTGGTCTGCTACACATGTCTGAATGTTTTGAAGCCTGAACAGTAGATAAGAAGTCTGTTAAAACTGTCAGATGTTTCGAAGAGTTGTCATGTACCACTTCAATATACATTTGAGTACAGCCTATCCCCCTCCCCCTCCCCCTCAACCTACATGATCTACTTTAGAAGTGGAGAATGCGTTGTAGGGATTTCCCTAAGATATATCGAAGCCGACGAGATATGGTCTAATAAAATTAAAGTACCGTTCTACCTTCAAGTTTAAGTGGCTTGAATATCAGTCTTTTTTTTTTTAAGCTAAGTAACCTTTTCAGTGAAATTTTTGTTCTCCTTAAAACTACGGCCACTTATTATGGAGTACTCCGGAGTTCAGTCCCCTGGCCGTATTAGGAGGGGACAAGAGGGAACGACACAAATGACGTAATTACTGTGTGTTGGCGATAGATGCACTACTGTCATAATAGGGTTAGGGGTAGGGTTAGTGTTAGGGGTACGGTTAGGAGTGGCCGTAGTTTTAAGGAGTGCCAATACCCTAACCCTAACCCTGTTATGACAGCAGTGCATCTATCACCAACACACAGTAATTACGTTATTTGTTTCCTTCCCTCTCTTTCACTCCATAATTGCAATGCGGCCAGGGGACTGAACTCCGGCGTACTCCATAATGTGGCCGTAGTTTTAAGGAGAACCGAAATTTTTACTCCAGTGGCGAGAGAGCTTGCGAGGGATCGAGTTTCTTCCGGGCAGACAGTGATGAGAGCGACGTTCTCTCAAAGGACCTGCTGCTACATGATGATGATGATACAGCTGTGATAGTTTCCTAAGTAAAAACCCAATATACAAAACTTCACTTAGCATCCCTTCTCTTTACAGACTCACTTTTTTACTCAATCGAGTTATTGGTTTGTTTACTTTTAACAATAAAACTTTTGGATTTCCGGGGAAGCTGAAACTAAAAAATAATATAAATTAAGTCAAACCTGTACTTGTAACAACAACAACATTATAACTTTACATTCTCTGCACTCCAGACTATTTCAGTTTACCTGAGGGTTTTTAACTGTAGTGTGCTGGTCCTCGGTTGGAGGTCTACTTCTACCACCAGTCGACATATTTCCCACAACACTTTACAGCAATGGACCAGTTTGACACTTTTCTCTGACAAAAAAAAACATCCAAAATGGAATCAAAAAATATCTAAAAACATCTAAATTTGCGTAGGAAACATCTAGAAAAAAAAATATCCTAATGGAAAGTCACAAATTACACAGCAATTGATATGACTTACTCTATAGAATCATGTCCTCATCTTTACTGAAGTCTGCATTACAAGATGCACAGGATTAACTTAGCTTGGATAATGAAGTTGAAGCTTCAGATTCAAAATGTCTCTGGTATGCTTTAGCTGTTTCGATTTCTTTTAATACCCAATCAGGGAGCTGATAAGTGGAACAGCCTTTTCCTACTCTTATCAGGCTGAATTTTATTGTCAAGATAGCGTTTAAGAGGTCAAATTTCATCCTGTTTCTTAGGTTAGATTTGATAAATTAACTCCAAAAGAAAAACATAGAAAAACAGCTACAATCTAAACGTAAAAAAATGCCATCTAAATGCAAAGGAAAACATCTAAATGTGAATGTAAAACATCCAAAGTGGCAACAGTGGACACTCCGGGCCCCCACAAACACGACCTGAGTTAATAAAAGTTATGCTTCCGGTATTATAGTCACCGTGGTGAAGTGTTTGAGCGATTTTCCTCGCACCCTGATAGCCGTGGGTTTGCTAGTACAGTTTTTCGAGGGAGGTCAGTGGGCACCGTCGATGGATCTACAGCGTTCGTGCTTTGTGCGACCCCTTTGGGAGGCGGCTAGCCGTTCTGGGGGCAAAGACCTGGACGTAAAGATCTGGTAAAGGTGAAGTCGAGAGATGTGAACCAGCGTCACTGCACACGGTTATAAATCTTAAGTGCTCTGCCACCAATACAGACAGCCCTGTCATTCATTTAGACGTAATGAAAGCAGAGCCAGAGATCGACCAAGCAAGCAACGGGTAGATGGAATAGCCAAGGTTGTAAATACCCACATCTACGTAGCATATACCAAGCTTTACTTTCAATCGATGCCTCTTCAAAACCTGATACTGAAAGGACCATAGAAGAGGAAGAATATTTGACTATGACCATAAGTCAGTGGATATACATGCGAACATAAGCCGCATATTTACCTGCATCAGTATCTGATTCTACTTCTTCATGTGGGCGAGGTAACGAGCAGGCTGATAGATTAGCTGCTGCTGCGATGAGCTACTATTTGAAAACTTGAAAATGTTGAAGGCTCTCTGGGATCAAATGGAAAGTGCAAACGACCAGATTGGGAATCCATACATTAAAAGACCAAATCAACGGGTAGGTGTTTGGGGGGGGGGGGATCCTGGAAGACATTTAACATAGAAGGGGAAACAAAGGCGGACTTTTAAACAGGCTGCAACTGGTACTTTTAGCATGTCAACTCTTTGGTGGTTATTAAATTAAAG